AAACACAATGAGATAATCAATTTTATGGGATCAACTAGTACTGTGTACGCGTGGACACAGATACAATAATGTTTAGAAAAATGTGAATGACTCGTTGGATACGTTTATTTAAGGTTCACTTGAATTTTACGTGAATTGGCCAAAGATCTTTACTTAACGGTATTTTTTTGTAACATAAAAATGAGCTAAGTTTTATGTGGAAAAATTATATAACACTCGGTGCACATTAGAAAAATTTTACCACGATGAATCTTTTCCCAGTGTTTATTTGCTTTATAATTACTATAAAAAAATTCCCGCATATATTATGTAAATGCACGTGATGATTATTAAAAATAAAACGCCGAGTAGCAAGTTTATAAATGTTTATCTTGTTTGAGGCATAAAAGTTTTACTTGTATTAAAATAATTATTGATAGTACAAGCAATTCAATAAATTAAAATATTCCTTAAAAATAATAGTTATGTATCATTAGTTATAAGTTTAATAAGTAAGTTTTGCGTAACAGACTGTATTTCAAACACCAAAAACAAAGTTGATATGGAAAAATGAAAAAGTTATTAAGGAATGTGAACGTACGATAGAAAACATTATAAAATAATAAAACGTTTGTAAACATGAGAATTATATTGTTTCAAAATTATGCTATCCCTTTTTTAACATGCTTGCAGTTACTCATGAATTCTAATTTCAGTTTTATAACTGTTTTAACTTAATAATTGTTTGTGCGCCACTAACATCGCATTTAAAAACACATGCTGCGTACTTGAGCCTCAATTTTTGTTGTATTTTTAAACATGTTTGTGCTATTTTAAAAAATTTTGTATCTATTTCTTTTAGATTACTGGAAGAATATTTATGAACGAGGCGGAGGAGCAGGAGGTGGGGGACCTAATACTTGTTTCAAGTGCGGCAAGACCTACGTTCATTTTTACACTCTAAAACGTCATTTGGACTACGAATGCCAAGTGATACCGAAATTTCGTTGCTCGTACTGTTCGAGGCGTTCAAAGCACAAAAGCGATATGAAGGATCACATCACGAGGATTCATAAAAATAAGCCAATAACGTTTTATGAGCTTCTGGATAACGATGTTGAGACTCGATTGGAACTGTAAACAAAAAAAAATTGATTAAGTCTAGTGTCGTTTTTTTGTTACCGATAAAATAATTTTTTTCATCTTTACCAAAGTTTTTTCATGATAAGGGGTAAGTCAATTTTTATCTGATAAGAAACTTAATGTATTCTCCATACGTTTGTGAATAACGTTATGAAGTTTGTTTTAAAAAATTACAGTTTAGTTAAATATTCTATAATTTAATATTAAAATTGTTAATATACGTAAATATTGTACAGACATGCATAAATAAATGGAAAATTCAACATTTCGAAAGACTGTTGTTTTTTAAAAAGTCCGTACTTTTTAATTTTTTACTATTATCGTACACAATGGTCTAATTA